GGCAGAGGCGGGGCAAGGGGAGGCGCAGGCAAGGAGTGGGGCGGGCGGCGGGCGGCAAAGGCTCGCCCGCCCGAAAGGGGCGGAGGTGGGAGGGTGGGAGGGGAATCGGCGCGTGGAGTGAATGTCGGGCCGTGCTGCGCAGGCTGTGAGCGCGCGCTGTGGCCGCCGCCGCGCCTTGTTGCCCGTCACGATGCACTTTTCGGCGTTGATCACGACGACGCAGTCTCCGACATCAGCGCCCGGGGTGAACTCGGGCTTGTGCTTGCCCAGCAGGAGCTTTGCGATCTCGGACGACATCCGCCCCAGCCGCAGCCCCTCCGCGTCCACCACGTACCACTTTTTCGCCGCCATCGCCCTATCCTCCGCCTTAGGCATCCACGTCTTCTGCCCTGGCATCATCGGCGTCGCGACCGGCACGCCCGCCTCCATGCGGACGGCGGCGGCGCGGCTCGCCGGCGGCGCGGGCAGCGGCGAGGGCAGCACGTACGCGCAGCTGAGCGCAAAGGCGGAGGCGAGCATGGCAGACAGCTGCAGGCAGCTCGACAAAGCTCCCGGAAAAAGAAATCGCGCCCATTCTTTCTTTCTTTCGTGTGGGTGAACCCTGCCCAGCCCCCCTCCGTGTCGCGATGCGCTCCCCACTCCCGTTCCCCTATGTCCCTGATCGTCCTTGCAGCAACAACAAACAAAGCCAGGCGTTCGTGCACGGTGACAAGGAGAAACCAGAGCTCACCCGGCAGTACAACGAGGGGTACAAGGTCGAAACGGACACCTCTACTGTGAGATGGGTAAAAAGGACCAAAAAAGAAAGAAAGAAAACAGACAACCCAAGGGAGGGATGGGAGGACGGCACGCCGCCACCACACAGGGATTTTAAGGAGAGGGGTGTGATGCGCTAGCCGTCGCCCACCCTAGGGAGTCTGCCTCTTCCTATCTCTTTTCGCAGTCTCTCGCCGCTTCTCGCTGCAACCTTCATGCCACCTCGCGGCCGTCCCACTCTCGTCGTTCTCTCCCTTGTCACTTCCTCCTCTGTCGCGTCATTCTCTTCTGCCTCGTCCTGCGCCGCCGCCGCCTGCCGTTCCCTTGTTCTCTCGGCTTCTTTCGCCTTTCGGCGCAGCTCCGCCCTCCTTGCTGCATATCCTGGCCCCTCGAGTCTATCGAGCTCCCCTCGAGCAAGGACCACATTTCTGACTCCCACACCGATCATTTGCCTCCAAGTCATATCATTGCTCAGGTCCACTCTCTCTTCGAACACTCGTGCCTCTACGGATGATGCCGGCGCTGGGGTCCCCTTCGGATGCATCGTGACATCTGACAACTGAATTTCCACTGGTTCGTCCTCCTCGGAGTCATCTTCCCCGTCCTCCTTCCGTTCGGCTCTTCGCTCGGTACGTTCGGTGTGGCTCACCCTCCATGCCGTGAAAAAAAAAAGGACCAGCCATCCTTAGCACGGATGGCTGCGAAACAGGGAGCGCAGCCATCCAAGGCGCCCAAGGTGCAGATTTCGAGGTTAGCCCTCGCTATGTGTAGGCCGTCCTAAACTGCGTGAGAGAGAGCCTGCGTTGCGATCCTATCTTCGCGCGCGCTGCGCTTTTCCGAGGCGACCAGCCATGCACGCGTCGACGCTGCTACCTCCTCAGCCTGTCGCGCACCCACCACCCCCTCCTTTTCTTCCAGCGCAACCACGGCCACGGCCCTCCGGCATTCGCCTGCGGGTTGGCGGGCCTGCACTGGAGCACCACGTTGAAAGGGCAATGGAAACTCTACGTGCAGAGAAATTAGCACCGATCACAATCACAATACGTGTTGTGGACGTGGATGGTGTTTGTATCACGCTGCATGAGGTCTCGAAGCAGGAGCAAGGCGCTGCCAGCTTTGCGATGCAGCACCGGCGTTTGTGCCCCGGTTTGTGCCGCGTCCCGTGCCCCCGAGTTCAATTTAAAACACATTGCTGTGAGAGAGAGTTGTTTTGTTTAAAGTCTTACACACCTCCTAGCATGGAGGACGGGCCCACACGCACACACACGCTGCACACGATTGGCTCGGGAGCCGACACGAGGCACGCTGGCCGTAGCACTGGGTGGGTCCGGACTGCTGGCGGTCTCGGGCACCGCACCCGTGCTGCCACAAAGCACAAAGAATGTGCTGCCACAAAGCACCACTAGCTAGCGATTTCGCGCGGAGGGCGTAGTGAAGTGCTGGGGCGCTCACTGTGTGTTATTCGGGTGGGGATCCATCAGTGGTAAGCGGCTTTAGTCACAGATCCAAGCTCAGAATTCAAAAGACGAAGGACTCACTCTCGCACAACAGTCAAACCCTGACTCGGGACTCGCCGCGCGCAGTGTAGCGAAAAAACGTGTAAACGTCGGAGTCGTCAGTCGAATTGAGAGAAAGTATGTCTGCGCCCCACACACCGCTCACGACAGGTCCTGAAACGCGCCGCTGGCAAGCAGCCTGGCGATCATGGTGGCGCCGGGAATGACGACAACCAGCGAGACTGACACGGCGATCATCTAATCCGGTCGCAAATGCAAAAGTGATGGAAATGACGAAGAGAAGCAGCTGGTAGGAGGAGGACCGAGAAGATGCCACACGCAACGTGCTCTTGCCACAAGCACGAGTGAGGCCGACATTGGCCCGCCTCCAGTCAGCGTAGCCCTCAGGGTAGTGCCAGACGCGTGCGAGGAAGCGAACCTCTGGTGCACTGACCTGCGGTTGTTGAGAATCGGTTGCTCCTTCAAGAAGCCCGCCAGCTGCGCCTCGCCCAGCGTGCGTCACAACAAGCTGACATCTGCGTCGCCGTGACCAGCAAACAAGTACTCGGACTTGCCCGCGAGCGAGATCACTTTAGCCGTCAGAAAGGTGAACAGGATCACGCTGGTCCAGGCCTAAGCTCGCCAAGCGAAATGGCAAGCAGGAAGCCAGAGAGCACGGCGATGATGTCGCCACCGCCGACCTTGGCCTCGAGGACTGCTTCTCCTGCTCCTGCGCGGAAGAGGAGCCTCTTGCGCGAGCGCTGGTAGGCTCGGTCTCGGCGTCGCCGGACTGCTCATCTCCGGATACCTTGCCTCTATTGGTGAACATGGCGGGGTGCGTGTGCGGCGTGATCTTCGGCGGGGTAGCTTTTACGTGTGCGCGCGCAGCCCGGCGCACACCCGCCGGCCTTTCAGCGGGCGTGAAGAAAACTTTTGGAAAGGATCGCTGTAAATAAATAAATAGAGCAGTCATCTCCAGGGAGAGATGGGCAACGCACACGAACACAGAGGGACAGTGCGCACCCCGCCCCGCTCGCAGGGCGTGCATCACGCAGGTGGACTGTATGACTCCTCGGGTTTCTGGGACTCAGAGGTGTGCTAGTCGCTATTCTCCGACAATTCCGACATATCTGACGGGCAGTTCGGGCTCGAGCGGTCGCGGTCGCGGCCAGCGCGTGAGGCCTGGCTAGGGTTGCCGGGCGAGAGCTCGACCCACGCGCCGGAGCGCGCGTGGTGCTTGAGCAGCCGGGCGGTCGCCGCAGCCACCTCGAAGGGTAGCTCGTCGAGCCACTCGCCGAATGTGCCCTCGTCCTGCGCCGCAGCGAGGAATTGCTCACCTAAGCCGTACGCGCGGCAGGCCCGGTAGAGCGCCTCGTTCTGGATCTCCTCCGGCGCCTCGGAGTCGTAGCCGCAAACGGAGAGAGGAAGCCAACGCGACGTGCGCAGAGGATGAGGATATAAACTGGGACGACGCAGCGGAGGGGATAGGCGAGGGAATCGAGGGACCGGAGGGCTTTCGCGACAGCGACGATGACGACGAAGAAAGGGGAGGGGACGGAGGGGCGACACGCAGGAGGGGCGAAATCGCTAACGGCCCGAGCAGAGAGGGCGACGGCGGGGCACGAGGGAACAACGGAGACGCCACCGATGACGCGAACCGAGGCACGGACGCCGGTGGGGACGGGGAGGGCGACAGCGACGTCGAGGTTGACGCAACCGTATCGAGAGCGCCACCCAAAGGGGGGCGGACAGCCATGGAGGTCACCGAATGGAGGGCGAACGGCACGATACGAAAAGGCAGGGCGAGGCGGATGGAGAAAGAAGTGCCGAGAAGGCCATGGTGGAGGGGAGGGACGGGAGGACGAAAGAAGGGCGAGGAGGACGAGCGGCCCGCACAGGTCACGAGCAGACGCAGCGCCTGCTGGCCATTTCGAGACATTCGCCAAGAACGCTAGCTACATGGGAGGGCTTCGTGAAGGATGGATTGAAAAACATTCGAACAAAGAAGAGGCGACGGGAGGAACCGGCGGAGGATGCAGTGACGTGACACACACACACACACACACACACACACACACACACACACACACACACACACACACACACACACACACACACACACACACACACACACACACACACACACACACCGCTCACCCACGCGCACTGGGCCTTGCACTTTGAATGCCGTGGGGCTCCTGTCGTCAGACGTGGAGACGCGAGGGTTGCCCCCCCTTGCCCCACCACCTCGTGTGTGTGGAGAAGTTTACCTTACCTTACCTTACCTTACCGCGTTAAACACACGGGGCCACCCAGTCCGGCGCCACCCTCTCCGCCGGCAGCTGCACGGCAACGAGCCCGGCGTCCTCCCACCGGTCGGGCGACCTAAATGGACGGAGCGAGGGTAAGGCACATCGCCACTCGTGGCCGGTTCGACTAGGCTCGCGCGCCGGGTGAGGCTGGTGAGGATGCGAATGGCCGGGGAGGTGTAGAGGACGCGCAGGTAGCCGGGGCCCGAGATGGGAAGCGCCAGCGTCAGGCCGCCGACACAGACGGTGCCGCCGTCGATCTGCACGCTGAAGTCCTTGGGGCACCGCTGCGCTGCGTCCACCGCCTAGTCAGGGAGCGACGACTTTGGGTGAGGGCAGCTCTGGGTGTCTCGGGGCAGCCGCCGGTGCAGCGGCATCCTCGAATGCACCGCCCGCGGTGATGTGAAGCGCCGCGCCGACAAGTTCTGCGTAGTTTAGCACCCGCCCGCCGTTGTCGGAGAAGGAGTAGCGCTGGCCGGCCACGTTCGGCGAGGGGAGCAGCCGCGACGCCCGCGACTGCGCCAGCCGTTGCCAGCGCGGAGTTTCGGCGCCGCAAGTGTAGACTGTGATCCACAGCCCATCTCCGAACCGCGCAGCGTCGAAGGGGACGCACGCCGACGATAGGTCGCGCACCGCGGCAACTGCGGCCGCCTCGTTGGGCGGCTCTCGCGCCGAAAACGCGTCAGAGAGCAGCGAGACGAGCGCCGCTTCGCGGGCGGTGACAGGAGATGCTGTGCGCTGAAAGAGCTTTGGGAGGCCGCCGACCCGCAGGGACGTCGCGGGGAGGAGGAGGAGGAGAGCGCTGGCTGGGCGGAGCATACACAAACAACCCATGCTCCGGATCGGCGGCGAGCTCCCTCTTCCCACCCGACACTTGAGCACTGGATAGGGTCGATTCCGCATGGTACGGGACCCCTCGATCGTCTCGCCCTCCCTCACTGGTGTGTTCATGGGGGGGGGGGGGTCATAACAAACACGGTACAGGATCGAGGTGCACGCTGCCGAAGCAGTGTCGTCCCCCCTCTCCCCGACGGCGATGGCGGTGTGACCGATCGAGCTACAAGAGGAGCGCAACTCCAGCACACATCCCAGAAAAAATAAAAAAATCGTGAGTCTCGCTCGAGTTTCTCCCTTGCTGGTCTGTTTTCTTTCTTTCTTTCTTTCTTTCTCGAGGTGGATATCCTTTGGCCGCGTTGGGTAGCGAGGATTGGTGTGACGCGATCCACGCAGGCGTGTTTTCTGACGGCCGACCGTCAGTGCACGGAGTTGCCCCTTCTCCGACTGCCCCGGCTAGTTCCCGAGGTCGCCGGGTGTGACCCCTGCGTCCCTCGAGACCTAGCGCGGGTGGGTTGGAGTGGGCTCGCTGCAAGGAAGGGCTGTGTAAGATGCCGATCCCCGTAGTCCGCCCGCAGGTGATTTGTTAAATTCAAGATGGAAGCAGGAAGCGTCCATCCCGGCGGTGGTTCGAATCCACACGAGCCGAGGGGTGAAGGGGGGGAGTGGCCTGAGGACTGAAGCTCACCCATTGAGGAAGTGAGAACTGCTCGGCTCACCCCTGATCCTGCTGAACAAGCTCCCCTTGTAGCTCGATCGGTCACACCGCCATCGCCGTCGGGGAGAGGGGGGACGACACTGCTTCAGCAGCGTGCACCTCGATCCTGTACCGTGTTTGTTATGACCCCCCCCAATGAACACACCAGTGAGGGTGGGCGAGACGATCGAGGGGTCCCGTACCATGCGGAACCGAAAGAAAGAAAGAAAGAAAACACACAACCCAAGGGAGGGATGGGAGAACGGCACGCCGCCACCACACAGGGATTTTAAGGAGAGGAGAGTGTGAAACCGACCCTATCCAGTGCTCAAGGGCTCAATTCTTCGGTCACCCTGGCGGCGGCAAAGGAGCACGACAGGCTGATTGCAGACAGCCTGTACGAGCTTGTCGGCGGCGCGCGAGTTGGGCGCGAGGATGTCCAGTGGGTGCGGGCGCTCAAGCAGGCGCGTCTGCCAGTCAATATGGGCGGCATGGGCTTGACCAGCGCCGAGGACATTCGCGGCGCGGCGTGGGTTGGTACGTGGGCTCTCGTCACGCGGCCGATCCGCGAGCTACACAGGCCCTTCGCCGATCTCGACGTCTCGACCGCGCCCGGAGAGTGTTTCGACGAGCTGCGAGAGGCGCACACGCAGCTCGTCAGCAGACACGACCTCACCGACAAGTGCCAGCGGAGCTGGCGGACGCAGGTCGTGTGCCGGGAGGTGGTGAGCCCGGGCACTGCGATCAACGAGGCGAAGGCGGAGCCGAGGTTCCGCTTCTACCCGCACGGGCTGGCGCCGGCTGCGGAGCTGCTTCCCCTGGCCCAGTTCTCGTCCACCAACGAGTTCTTGCACCAGGCGCAGCGACGGTACACCTCTGGCGTGCACCATGCTAACTGGCTCGACCTTGCCAAGGAGCTTACCGACGAGGCGCTTCGCAGCGGCGGCCGCAAGGCGCCCTCCAAAGGCAACAAGGTCGGAAAACGCAAGAACCACAAATGCTGGCGAGAGGCGATCCGTTTTGTCGCCGTCAGCCAACCAGGGGCCGGCGCCTTCCTCAACGCCATCCCCATGCGTGATGACATGAAGATGGAGTCCTGGGCGATGCGCGTCACCGTCCAGCGCCGCCTTGGGCTCCCCCTTGATGTCGCCTGCCAGGCGGTGGAGGCAGGCAAGAGGGCACCCAGCGGCCAGCTACACGACGTCCTTGGCGACGCCGCGATGGTTAACCCTCGGTCAAAGCATGCTACAAGACACAAATTTCTACTCAAACGTTTGGTCAAATGCCTCCGCTCGGCGTGGGGCATGATCATCGAGATGGAGCCGACCGCACACCTCAGTTACAGTAATCCAAAACAACCTGACGTGGCGGCGGCAAACATCGGCAGGGGGCACAGGCGCCTCGTTGCCGATTTGAAGCTCACGAGCTCGCTTGCGAGCACGGGCAAGGACACGGCCGGCGACGGAGAGCTCGGCTGGAAGGGGGCCTACGTGCGCTTTGGCAACACGGAGACCGGGCTGCTCAAGTTGGTCAAAGGGCGCGGCAAGTGGTCTCCGTCGGAAGCGACGGCAGCGGCGGTGGCGGGGGAGGAGGAGGAGGCCGAGGAGGAGGGGGAGGAGGGGGAGGAGGAGGATGCCCCCAAGGGAAAGCTCACGGAGCAGCCTGGCGATTACCCCTTTGCGCGGCAGCAGGATTGCGATCTACGTTTGTTTGACTTTGAGGCTTTCGGAGGCTTTGGAAAGGAGGTTCGCAGCACCCTGAGGGAGGCGGCGAACCAGCTGAGCAATAAACTTTCGCACGCTCAGCACCTGGACGAGGTCACATGGACCACCAAGAACTGGCACGGGCTGCAGATGCAGCGCTTGTCTGTCGTCCTCCACACCGCCGTGGCGTGGCAGACGGTGAACGAGCTAGCGTGCGGGGAGAGCGGCATTGTGCATGGTGCGGAGTGCATTGCCGTTCTTAACGGAGTCGCTTAGGCGGCTCCGGTGGTGAGCCTGTGTGTGTGCCAGTCCGCGCCAGTCTGCGCCCTTGTCGTGCCAGTGTGCTGTGAGAGAGGCTTGTATCTTAAGAATTCTTCCGCCGAAGCGCCATAAAGTACGCGTTAGGGGCCGGCGTCGCCGCCGGAAGAAGGCGCGAAAGAAGCAAGAAGCCTCGTGCAGCTTTCATGTTTGGCAGCTATTTTAGCGGGCAGGCGACGACGGCGGAGCGGCTGGCCTACGTCCTGCTCGCGCTGGCCGTGCTCGCCTATAGCTCTGTGACCATCGGCGCAGAGCTGGGACTGATCGCGCCGAGGTGCAGCGACCTCCAAGAAAATTAGTTGAAAATCTTGGCCTCCACCGCTGAACATTTCGCCAGGACACACCTTAGTTGATGCGCGCGTCCGCCTCACACTGCTCTCGTCTCGCGTCTGCGAGGTGCGACCTGCCATCTCGCGCCGAGCCTCTCAAGTATGGCAACCCGGACTATGTGGAGGTGTCGCCTCCGAGATTCACGTGGCGCCACTAATTCCGTACCCGTCTCGCCAGCCACACAGCTCCGCGCGCGCGTCCATCCCGCCATACCCACGATTCGTCACCAGGACCCATGCAAGGGTGTGCGTCACTGGAGCCTCCTCGGCTTCACGACCTGGGAGTGCTCCATCTGTGCGCGCATCCTCATCTCGATTGCCGTCGGGACGGTCATCGGGTGCGCCTTCGCTCGGCCCCGTCCCCGTCGAGCGCCGCCCGCGCGGCTGCTTTCCTCGCCGCCGCCCGCACTGCCTGCTGTCAGCGCCGCCGCGCCGCCCTCGCTACCCCTGCAGGTGGGAGCGCTCGCTCCGCGGCCACACGGCGACAGGCATGCGCACCATGTCGGTACTGTGTCTCGGCGCCTGCTGCTACTGCATCTGCTCGCTCTTCTCCTTTCTCGACGGCCCCATGGCGTGGGACGCCTCCCGATCCTCGGCCGCTATCCCGACTGGAGTCGGCTTCCTCGGTGCCACAGAACCCCGCCGCCCGCCCCACCGCCCACCGCACATTCACGAGGCGCGCACGGCCCGCCCACGATGCGTCCGTGGCATGACCAGGCGGTGCGACCATCTGGAAGGGCAAGAGCTCGTCTTCTGGAAGGGAGGTGTGTTCGTAGACGCCACCAGAAGATCCCGGCGCGTCCTTCGAGGGCCCCCCGGCTCGGGCGCGGTGTCCGTCAGGACCCCTACCCTCGATTTGCTACCTCCCCCCTCGCGGTCGGCCCTGTCCCCTCCACAGGAGATCCACGGCCTCACCGCCGCGATCCTCGTCTGGCTGACTGCCGCCGTTGGCAACGCGATTGGAGGCGCCATGTACGTGCCCGCCCTATTCACCACCGCCGCCGCCATCGTCATCCTCAACACGAATGCCATCGAGTTCATCACGGCCACCGCCGCGTCGCGCAAGCGGAGCCGCGACTCCAACTCGACCCTGCAGCGCGAGCACCATAGCGCACTCACGTTGCTCGCGTTGAACCTCATCACACTCACGGCGTTACGCCCTCATGGCGTCCGTACCTCGGCTGAGTCTCGGCTGTATCTCGGTCACATCTGCGCTGTAGGCGCTCGCCTACGCCCTCCTCTCGCTCGCCGCACCCTACCTCGCGCCGCCCTGCGACCGGACGGTCGACCCGTCAAAATACACGGCAAAGTACTCGAACCCAGTGTACGCCGCCACGTACGACCCGTGCTTCCGCGACCGCCACGCGATCCTAGGAGGGCTTTCGAGGTTCGAGGCGGACCTCTGCGTCCGCCTGAGCGTTTCCGTTCTCCTCGGCGCGATTATCGGCTACGAGCGGAAGCGGAGCGATCGCGGCGTCGGAACCCAGAACCTAGATGCCGCGCGCACAGTCTTGCATCCTCGCAACAGGCCGCTGCTTCAGGCCAAGCTCGTTGCCACATTGCGACCTCTTCCGCCCAATCACGTTGCCACATTGCGACGGCTCGTGACCGTTTCGCCCATTGCGTCCTCCTGCAGGCATCCAAACCATGGCGCTGACGTGCCTCGCTTCGGCGCTCTTCGTCGCTGGCGTTTCTCTTGAAGTTTTTTGCCTCTTCATTGCGACCTTCCGTGAATAGGCGCTCTACACCTTTGGAGGCATCTATTGCGAGCAGACGGGCCCGTCGTCCTGGGACACTTCGCGCGTGGCCTCATCGGTCGTCTCGGGCGTCAGCTTCATCGGAGGCGCGGTGATTGTTAAGGGCAGCGACAAGAACCCACACGTCCACGGCCTGACCACAGCCACTTCGGTGTGGCTCTCGGCGGCGCTCGGGCTCATGGCTGGCGGCGCGCTCTACCCGGTCGGCTTCTTCGCCGCCCTCACCGCAGTCTTCTACTTGCGCTTCGGCCCGCGCTCCTACGGCACGGCGCCGGCGAGCCTCGCGCACAGCATTTGGGTGCCCGCCGGCCGCGCGGGCGCCTCCTCCGCCGCAGCCCCATTGGAGGAGGATCCAAAAGGGGAGGAGGGTCTCAAGTCGTAGCCTGGGACGGCGCCGACTCGCTTACGTTGTGGAGCGACGACCATCCGCTTTTAAATCTTGCAATGGCCGTATTTTCACCTCCCGCGGCACGCTTTCCCCTGACTTGGACCACTAAGAATTGGCTGGGGCTGCAGAAGCAGCGTATCTCAGTCGTTCTTCACACGGCAATCGCAGAGCAGGTTGTGAATGAGCTTGCCTGTGGCGAGGGTGGGCGGGTGCACACACGCACCCCTTTGGGGTCACAGCCCCCCCCCCCCCCCCGCCCCCACGACTTCTTTTCCCGCACTAATCCCGACCCCCGGTTTTTTCGCTGAGGTTTTCAAACTTGTTCTATCATAGTTAGCTGCTAAGTGAGAGCAAGTGGCACATCGCGTTCTCACCACGGTCGCCGCTCATGGCGCGGCGCGCCTGCGCAACGCGGCCCCGAGAGGGGCCGCCTGGCCACCGCTGCCACTGCGCCGCACGGATTTCACCCCACTTTCGCGACTGTGGCCGTCCAACAGTCTGCCGGCGCGGCGGGCGCATTCGAATGCGCCCGCTGCGCCGGCAGACTGTCAGTGCTATCCCGGGCGGCGCGCCAGCGAGCCCGGACGCTGGCCAGCCGCGAGGACAGCGCCATCGTCATCGGCGTCTCCTGCAGCAACTTCAACAGCACAAGGTAGCCGGGTCGGAGGCCTCCCGCCGAGCTGCCGAGCCACCCCGCACCCGCGCCACCCTGCCTCAGGGAGTCAGTTGAGAGGGTGCGCAAAACCTTACCAAAACTGGCACGGGTCACGCGCCGCTCGGGAGCCGCGGCGCAGCCTCCAGAGACTGCAACGACAGCGAGCATACGCGCACGCGACTAAGCAGCTAACTCGAGGGGTTTCCTCAATCAACCGAACGCGCTAGGCTGGCGAAAAAACCCGGGCGCCGGATTAGTGCGTTGTTCTTTTCGGTTCTTGTTTTTAAAACCCCGCTCCTCGCTCCATATGTTCTTTACACACGCACCCCTTTGGGGTTACAGCCCCTCCCCGCCTACGATTTCTTTTCCTTCTTGTTTAAACCCCCGCTTCTCTCTAAAAGAAAGAAAGAAAACAGACAACCCAAGGGAGGGATGGGAGGACGGCACGCCCCCACCACACAGGGATTTTAAGGAGAGGAGTGTGGTGCTAGCCGTCGCCCACCCTCGGGCGTCTACCACTTCCTATCTCTCTCCGCAGTTTCTCACCAATTCTCGCAGCGACCTTCATGCCACCTCGCGTTCTTCCCACTCTCCTCTTCCCCTGACTCATCGCTCTCCTCGGCCTCGTTCTGAGACGCCGCTGTCGTCTGCCGATCTCTTGCTCTCGCTGCTTCTCTCGCCTTTCTGCGTAGCTCCGCTCTCCTCTCCGCGTATTTTGGTCCCTCGAGTTTATCGAGCATTCGCGCGCAAGGACCACATTTCTGACTCCCACTGCGAGCAATCCCGCCCTGTCATGTCGTTGCTCAGGTCCACTCTCGTTTCGAGCACTTGTACCTCAACTGTCGGTGTTGGCACTGGGGTTCCCTTTGGGTATATCGTGACAGCTGACGGCGGGATTTCCACTGGTGTTTCGACTGGTTGGGTAGTAGTCTAAGTTCTGAGCCTCGCGGCTTAACGGGTCTAAGTGTGGCTAGCCACGCTGGAGTGCTTACGCGGTCTAAGATCAGCGGGAGCCTCTTACACCGGCTAAGTCGGCCATGGCACGCGATATACGGCGCTCGCGCCCAAATTTTCTTCGCCTGCGCGGCGGGCGATCGATCCTCCTCATGCTCAGCAATCGCCGCCTGGGGGATAGGGGCGGGGATCCTCTCTCTTCCCGCCATCGATGCCGGGGCTCAACCAATCCGGAGAGGTCATTACCAATTTACCATTCCTCCATACATCCCCTCCCAGCTTCAACGGCGGGCGTCTAGGAGTGTGTCGTCAACTGGCCGGTGGTCATTCAGTGTGGTGGGGTGGGTTTCGTGACCGTCCAGCGTCGATGCCGCCTGACTTACCTGTTCCCCGCTGGGAGGGGGAGGGGGGGGGGAGAGGAGGAGGGGGGGGGGGGAGGGGTACCGGGGGGGCGGCATGGAGGGGGAGAGGAAGAGCAAGGGCGAGAGAGGGCAAGGGACCGGGCGCTGGCATACCAGGGGGGGCAGGGTGGTGGGCGGCGACCGCCGCATACCGTCCTACGGCGGGGACTATCGCTACGCCAGGGAAGACAAGGGCGTCGAAGTGCAGCTGCTGCTGTTCGAATCGTTCGGCGGGTTCGGAAAGGGGGTCCGTGAGATCCTCAGGAAGGCGGCGGACGTACTACAGAACAAGCTGACGCGGGCCCAGTACCTCGATGAGGTGACTTGGACCACCAAGAGCTGGCTGGGGCTGCAGAAGCAGCGCATCTCAGTCGTTCTTCACACGGCAATCGCAGAGCAGATTGTGAATGAGCTTGCCTGTGGCGGGGGTGGGCGGGTGCACGGAGCTAAGTGCCTCGCCACCCTCGCAGGAGTCGCTTAGGCGGCTCCCGTGGTGTACCTGTGTTAGTGCCAGTGCGAGCCAGTCCCGTGCCCAGTCCTGTGCCCAGTGTCGTGCGAGGGAGTTTCGTTGTAAAATTCTTTTTCCGTGTATTTAAATTCTGAAACTACGCGCTCTCGAGCCCCCCGCACAGACCTCAGCGGCTGCGCCGGGTCTCGTCGGCGCGCGGGCCGCCGAAGGGCGCGAGAGAGCCGTCCGCTGGCGGTGCCGTGCGAGACACCGCCCTTCCTATTGTGCATAGGGGCTAGCCGCCGCGGCTTGACTCGGTGACATGGCGTCCGCCGTGAGCCCGCCCGCCACGCTGCTCGCCGACATCGCCGCCGGCGACCTGACCTCGCTGCGCGCCCTCTTCTCCGGGCGGCAGACGCGCGGTGCGTCACTCGCGGCCCAGCTCGACGCGCGGCTCGAGACCGGCGACCAGGACACGCTGCTCACTTGGGCCGCTCGGCACGGGCAGGCCGAGGCGGTGCGGCTGCTGCTTGAGGCCGGCGCGAGCGTCGGGGCGACTGACGGCGGCGGCCGCTCTGCGCTGTACATCGCGTGCCAGGAGGACTACCTCGAGATCGCCCGGCTGCTCCTCGAGGCCAGCGCGGCGGTCAACCAAGCTGCGCGCGACGGCGTCACGCCGCTGTACATGGCAAGCCAGAACGGCCACCTCGATATCGTCCGGCTGCTCCTCGAGGCCGGTGCGGCGGTCAACCAAGCCAAGGCCAATGGCGCCACGCCGCTGCTCATCGCGTGCAGGAGCGGCCACCTCGACATCGTCCGGCTGCTCCTCGAGGCTGGCGCAGCGATCGACCAAGCCAAGCAGAACGGCGCCACGCCGCTGCTCGCCGCGTGCCAGAACGGCCACGTCGAGGTCGCCCAGCTGCTGCGCGACGCTGGCGCTTCGGTCAACCAGGCCAAGGAGAACGGCGTCACGCCGCTGTACATCGCGTGCCAGAACGGCCAGCTCGAGTGCGCCCGGCTGCTGCGCGACGCTGGCGCGGCGGTCAACCAAGCCAAGCAGAACGGCGCCACGCCGCTGTTCGCCGCGTGCCAGCAGGGCCACCTCGAGTGCGCCCAGCTGCTGCGCGACGCCGGCGCTTCGGTCAGCCAGGCCGCGGAGGACGGCTGCACGCCGCTGTACATCGCTTGCCAGCAGGGCCACCTCGACGTCGCCCGGCTGCTCCTGGAGGCTGGCGCGGCGGTCGACCAAGCCAAGCAGAACGGCGTCACGCCGCTGTTCGTTGCGAGCCACTTCGGCCACATCGCGGTCGCCAAGCTCCTCTCCTCCTATGGTGCCTCCCGCGCCGCTACGCCCTTCGGCACGCCCGAGGAGGCCGCAAACAGCCGCGGCCACGCCGACCTCGCCGCTTGGCTGGTCGCCAGCCGCGGCTGGACGCCGCTCGCGCACCTTGAGACCCTCACCGCCGCCCGCGCTCTCTCCCTGCTGCGCAGCGGCACAAGCCTGCACGAGGGCGAGCCGACGCCGCTGCAGCGCGCCGCGGGCGGCGAGGGCGAGGCGGCGGCGCTGATCCGGCGGGCGGCGGCGCCGTGGTCGCCGGCAAGCCACTCGCTCTTCCCCGCGGCGGCGCGCGCGCGGGCGGCGCTCCTCGTCCTCTCGCTCTACGAGATCCACGAGCGGCACCATCTCGACTCGGCAGGAAACACGAACGGCATCGCGGCGCGCGACTTTAGCGCGTGCCTGCTGCGCTTCGCGATCACGCGCGAGACGGAGTAAGGGGTAGCTAGGGTACGCCGTGTGGATTTTGCATCGCAATTTCTTTTTCCATTACATTCCTATGGTTCCTGTTCTTTTTGCTCCACACTGGGGCCGAGACCCGAGACAAAATTGCTAAATAAATAAAACGGACGGCTAGCCGGACCCCGGACACCTCTGGCTCGTTGTGCGAGTATATGGGCCACGATGTCTCAAATATGAGGGGTTTTGACTACTACCAGCTCCTGACGCTATCCCTGGCAGCTCTAATGGCCAGGATCAGTAGTGTTGTGATAGAGGGTGCCCATACTAGCGCAGGAGCTGCCACACTCGCCCGGACCGTCCCCTTCTGGGGCCGGTTCCGCAGCCCGCGAGAGCCGACCGCGGGGCTGTGCCGCGGGTGCCTACTGCCGAGTGCCACAAACACTGCGCCGTCCCGCCATCACCTACAGGCTGTCTTGTGTGATGGTTGGGATGTCCAAACGCCACCATCTTGGCTCTTGCGACCTCAAACCCGCGAGCTGTATGGGTGGTCCTGACGTCGACAGACGCCCGATGACCACGGTGAAGCTGAGCCGGAACGCGTCGACAAGTCTCGTCTGAGCCCGTGGCGGTCGCCGGCTGAGTCGCCGTACACGGGCCGGTACCTCAGGCGTCACCTCCGCAGCCTCAGGTCTCACACTCCATCACCTCCGCCGGGACGCCGTCGGTGGCACGCTCGGCGGCGACTTTGTGGCAGCCCCACAGCGAGCGCGGCATCGAGCCTGTTCGGTCTGGTCGGTT